TGCAGAAAAAGCTAGAGAACAAGGTAAACTATTACTACATCAAACAATGTCTTATCAAATCAACCTGTATCCAAGTGCATCAGACAACATTCGTGAGTAATGGTGAGTCTCAGCCAACCCTTGGCACACATTATTGGCATGCTGGTTGTAGTTCCTGGGTTTTGATCTTCAAATAACTTGAGATCAAAACCTTTTTGTTGTTGTTATTTCCTGCCAGTCAAAGAAGTGGTTTCACCCTCAGCCTTTTCGAGACCACTGAAAGACAAGACACTAAAGCAGCCAGGCCCACCCCAGATGCAACTCATGCCAACTCCAAATCTCCTAAAACAGTGTGATAATCAAGGCCAGGAGACGGGGTTTATGTGAGGTCCACCACTCCTGCCTGAGACTGAATCATAAAACCACTAGCACTCCATTCCCCAGGATTGCACCTCCTAGCCCCAACCTACTTGAACTGTGCATAAGGAAAAAGAAATCAGGAAAGCACCAAACGTAAAACCTCAAGTACATTTTAAATCCTGCTTTAGATTCATTTAAATTAACAGAAGTCAGGCAACTTCTTTATATGAGCTGAGTTATTCTTACTGTTTTAACAACAAACACAGTCAGACACATTTTTCTACTAAAAAATAAAAAATACCCTGACAGAAGTAAATTCTAAAACTCAGAGAACATGGAAAAAACGTAAACGTTGCCTTATAGAATAACCAAAGAAGGAAATTACCCAGTTATTTGGCAATGGAAAACAACTGTTTGTACATTATTACATATTTTGTAGGTCACAGATCCAAAGCATTATTTTCATTTTCTAGCCCAGCATCTTTCAGAACTGATTTACAGAGAACACCAGTGCAACAAGAGAAAAGCAAGTCAAGTCAGAGCAGCTCTGCCTTTCCTAGTCCCCTTTAGACATGACTAATGCACATCTGCACGTTCAAGAGTCTGAGGATCCTGCAGTAAATGCTGGATTCTGTGGAATCCAGCATTTCCCCAAGTTCTGGCCCTGCAGCCCTTTTTCTCTCATAATACATATTAACAGCCCACAATATGGCTGTTCTGCTGAGCACACTCCAGGAAAGATTCTTTTGGAAAAGGGACATAATGAAATGGCTTCAGAGCTCAGACTTTGGAGTCAGCCTGATTAAAATACCACCTTCATCATCTGCTGGCTTTATGATGTCACTTGTCCCTCAGTTCCTCCAGGTAAAATGGGAAAAAACCAATAGCACCCACTTCCTCAGCCACAGGACTGGCACAGTCCTCTGAGAGCCTAATGTGCTTGTTCCTTTTTGTCATTCAGGTCTCAGTGCATGACACTACCCCTCCAAGAGGCCTTCCCTGACCACCCACTATGAACTGATCCCACCCAGGTCCCTACTGCTTCACCCTTCTTTTCTTTCATGACATATCTCTATTTAATCACAAAACTATCATCTATTTCCCCCAATAGAATGCAAGCACCATGAAGCTAAATTTTATTGGTTATCACTGTTATAGCCTAAAACAGATCTTCAATACGTATTCATCCAATGAATGAAGGAATGAATGCAAAGATAGATGAATGAATGAATGAATGAGGTGGTTGTGAGACTTCAGTGTGAATGAATGTAAAGTATTCTTCATGGTGTCAGAAACAGAAGCATCCACATAGATGCTGTTTTGGAAACTTCTGATGAACCATGAGAGGTTAATGCACTCATAATCCTAATTCTTCCAATATTTAACTTTCTCACTCCAGTGCCTCTTCTTGCTGTACTGCAGGTAAATATTTCACAGCATTTATTCAGAGATGTGCTAGTAAACAGGCTTTGAGGAATGGGCAAGGGAATGGAGGAGACAGGCCCTAAGAATAGCATTTGCAAATTTCCATGGTGTAAATACTCCAACCATGCCCAATTTCCAGCTATCAATGGTTTAATACTAGGCTCACAAGATTCCTGAAAATTTGATAAATGACTCTCACAAGCCAGTACAATCCTTTTCTTGGGAAGGGTCCCTCCAAGCCTCCAAGTATTGCCTGTCGTGGTGGTGGCTCACACCTGTAATACCAGCACTTTGGGAGGCTGAGGTAGGAGATTTGCTTGAGGCCAGGAGTTCGAAACCAGCCTGGGCAACACAGCTAGACCTCATCTCTACAAAAAATTTAAAAATTAGCCAGGAGTTCCAGCTACTCAGGAGGCTGAGGCAGAAGGATCACGTGAGCCCAAGAGTTCCAGGATACAGTGAGCTATGATGGCACCACTGTACTCCAGCCTGGGCGACAGACCAAGACTCCATCTCTAAAAAATTAAACACACACACACACACACACACACACACACACAATCACAATCACGCCTCCAACTCTTATTTGTTGAGTTCAAGTTTAAAATGAGCTTTTTAGAGAGAGACATTTTCCATAGTCTCCCTTCACGATGAGTCAAAATAAGGGCTATTGACTTTGGTCTGATGCCCATGGAAACTAGTTGAATATTTTGGGCTGCATATTTTGGCCCAACCCTATATGTGTTTTCAAACTGTAGTTTAAGGCTCTAGACATGATCTGTATTCACACCAAACCACTGTGATGACCAACCAATCTCAAAAAACACAAGATAATTGTGTTTAGATTCATTTAAATGGAAAGAGTCACACAAGACACCCTCTACAACTTACTACCACTGAGCAGAATCTAGTAGCAGAAGAGGGACTCCATCCTGACCACAGAGCTCAGTGGAGTGAGGGACGGTGCTGCAGATGGAGTTTCCTCTGGCATCACAGCCTTGTTGAACATGTCACATCACCACTGGCACCCAAAATATTAACAAAGCAATAGCTTTTTCCAACTACAGCGATCCTCTAGCAACCACAGTTTTGAGATAACACAAGAAAAATTTCAAAATCCACAGTCTACATGTAAGTAATAATATGCCAGCAATTATTGTTCCTCTTCTGTAAACTAGATAGTAGGGCCATGGAGTAAGACAGGGAAAGCATTAGTTTCTGCTCCACTGTATTTGTTATCTGTGCTGTGTAACAAATTACTCCAAAATTCAGCAGCTTAAAACAGCATACATTTATCATCTCATAGTTTCTGTGAGTCAGGAATCTAGGCAGGCTCAAGTGAGTTCTCTGCTTCAGGGTCTCTCACAGGCTGCAATCAAGGTGTCAGCCTGGCACCTGTCATCTCATCTGAAGGCTCCACTGGGGAAGGATCCACTTCCAAGCTCACTAAGTGGTTGCTGGCAGTTTCTAGTTCTTTGTGGCTGTTGGAGTGAGTGCCTCTATCCCTTACTCGGTGTTGGCTGGAGGCTGCTCTCAGTCCCTCACCACATGGGCCTCTCCACGTGGCAGCTTGCTTCATCAAAGCATGCAAGCTAAGAAGGCAATAGAGTCTGCTAGAAAGATGGAAGTAACTGTCTTATGTAACCTAATCATGGAAGTGACACTGGCTTTCCATTACTTTTGCCATATTCTATCATTTAGAAGCAAGTCATGAGGGTCAGCCAATACTCAAGGGAAAAAGTTTACAAAAGGGTGTGAATCCCAAGAGGTAGGGGTTGCTGAAGGCCATCTGCCCACCGCATTCACCCTCTTGGAATATGGATGGGAAGACCAGGCCCAACAAAATATCTCTTTAAGCAACTCATTATGAAACCAAGCCATGTAGTTTCCCAAACATGCTGTGAAGTTCTTCTGAAAACAAAACAAGGAAGAACAAGATTTGAACACATTAAGTTTGAGGACACAACAGTCTGTTCAAACGTCCTAAGCAAATATAATCTACATCAAAGAAAACTACCAGGGGCATCTGCATTTTATAAATCCCAACATGGAAGCCATGTCTTGTGACCAACCAGACAAGTGACTCACAAGGACTGCCCATTTGAACAGGCATTTTAATGCCAAGACATCTAGTTTGGTCACAAAGCAAACACCTTCTGGAATTTTTATTTATTGCCATAGAATATTTTGAAAATATATGTAATGCCATTTTATTACTTGCTATTTTCTGCATGATCCACGTCTCCTTCTTCAGTTTTGCCTACACAGTACTTTTAAGATGCGTATTCACCACAGTGGCAAGCAACTGCCATAAAAATTTCAAACCTTGGCTGTTGATCACATTTTTTCTAAGCTCTACTCAACCACATATTCTCAGATATCTGAGCATTCCAACATCCAGTGGTGGTGGCAGGCTAGGGAGATTGCCTCCAAAAAACTTCAAGTGATTTAATCTACCAAGGGCATAACACATACTCAGAAAACCTGGAACATTCTGTCCTAGACAAATGTAAATGCAGACAAAGATTATCTTAAACCTAAACATTCAAAATTGACCTGCACATTTACCATTCTTTCCAGAAACACCCATGTGCTTTACTTACTGCAACTCCCGCCCCCAATTCGGTTATAAAAATTTTTAGGTTCGTTGTGTTGCTAATCATCTATTCAGAGTTTTTTTCCCCTCTAGAGAGATGATATTTGATAAACAACTTAATGATACTATAGTTAAAAGATTGTAAAACTCTAGCCACTTGTGGGAAAGCAACTGTAAACCACAGTAGAATTGACATTTGCTGCACATGCTTGGATCTTGAATATGTATTGAATAATGATGGAACATATGTACAGTGAGTGGAGAAAGAAACTAATACAAAATTCCAGTTTAACGGTCATAAGCAGACAGAAAGATTAAAAAGCACATGACACAGGGAATTTTGTTCAGGCTGTAGAGCAGGGGTCCTCAAACTTTTTAAATAGGGGGCCAGTTCACTGTCCCTCAGACCGCTGGAGGGCCGGACTATAGTTAAAAAAAACTATAAACAAATTCCCATGCACACTGCACATATCTTATTTTGAAGTAAAAAAATGAATGGGCAAAAACACCCAACATGTGGCCCGCGGGCCATAGTTTGAGGACGCCTGCTGTAGATTATCATCCAGCATGTGAAAATAACTTGCTAACATATTTTAACTTATAAATTAAGACTTTGGGGAAATGCAGTGAACGTTCTTACCTCTCTGAGATGTATGTTTTCCTTCTCTTTCTGGTCTAAAATCACTTCCAAGTGGCTGACCTGAGACTCGGCCTCTGCCATCCTCCGCGTCCGTTCGTTGTCATCCTCCAGGCTTTTGGACGGCAAGCCTTTACTTTGCAACATCTCAAGGAGCTTTTTGATGGACTCATCTCGGGCATTGAGGGTCTGTTTCTGTGTTTCGATTCTCAGCTCCATTTCCTCCAAAGTCTTCCTCAAAAGGAACAGCTCCTTGGCCTGTCTGTCATGCTCAGCTTGGAGCCGCCTGAAGTTCTCCTCAGTCAGCTCGATGGTGAAGTGCTCCGCCCCTCGGTTGCCGCTCTCCTGCTGCAGGAGGTGGTTGAGGTCTCTCTGCGTTCGCAACTCGTCCTGAAGGGCCTGGATTGTCAACTGCAAGTGCTGCAATGATAAAGATGGAGCAGGAGAGGAGAAAGAAGGGGAAACGTCAATGGAAACGCCAAGTGCTGCTTGCCGCCACCACACCATGAAGATGGAATGTTAATCATGAAGTCCAGGGACCAGCCATGAAGTCCTCCACAGTGACTTCAGAAGCATGGGACAGCACATGGAGGGGGGAAATTAATTCAATGATGCCTTCTGAATGTCTTAGGAGAAGAAAAATGTACACAGACACAGAAACAGAATATTAGTATCAATCACAAGGGAAATTATACATCTACAGAGTTTTAATTTAGGAAGTGGAAAGGGTTAGAGGGAAACTTTCACAAACACACCTTCTTTATGCCTACAACGCTCCAGACTCAGTATTCCTTGTTTCCTAAGGTGTTCCTTATGGTACTATCCATTATTTTCCATGATCAAGGCTTGTTGATTTAAAAATGAAAATAATCGCATCCACTACAAGTAGACACAAACAGGGACTTTATATTTTTACAAATAAAGCTGTGAACAGGTTTAGTAAACAGGATTACTGCATCTGCAAGCAAAGGGAATAAGTACAGGCACAGACAAACACATTCAAACATACACAGAGGTGAGGCTATGCAGAACAAAACAAACAAGCTGCAAAGAGTGGACAAACCTTGGTTCTTCTGGCATCCAGCAACTGAACAGCATAGGAAATGAAAAAAAAAAAAATGAAGCAAAAAATCAACACAAAGAAAAGTCTAGTGCAAGCAGCAAAGGATATTTAACAGAAAGAACTTAATCGACATAAAGTACCTTCACAGAAGGAACAAAAGAAAAACAATTCTAATTACAGCAAAGACCCATAAGCTACACAGAATCTATACCACTGATGTTTGATAGACGTAAGGAAAAAAAAAAAAAAAGAAAAACCAAATGTGATGTTTATTCCACCTTTAGTTTTCCTAAATCTCACTGACCCAGGAACCCAAAGTCTTCGATGTACTACAGACAGAAAAGCACCCGAATGTTATTTTGGGCCACCATTTTTACCAAATCAGAGTGAAAGCACCAGAGGAACAAATAATTATCAGTTATGAGAAAAGAAAGCCCTGCATGAAGTCAGTTGGTAAATTTATCAGCACTTTCCCCACAGGGCAAACCCCCAGGCTGGCCAGAGACTGCAGCCACAAGCCTGCAGGCATTTTTTGTCCTCGGGACAAACCAGGAGGCTTCCAGGAGGCTTCCGACACAGAAGTGTGTCATTCACCAAACATAATCCTGCCTGTGGATCAAACACAAGGCTGAGCACAGCAATCAAGAGAGACACACAACATAGCTCCTGCCCACAGGAAACTTATGGTATCGTAGGACATGGATAACTCTATGTGTAAGGCATACAATTTTGGAGCAGTTGATATTTTGAAATCTTTCTGCATTCCTATAGCCAACACCCAGATGGGGATCTTTTCTGAGTGTGGCCTACACTCAGACACTAGCACTGGATGAGGCACATCTTGATTATGTTCTTCATGGATATCCATTTCATCTCATTTAGGAATTTCCATGAGAAATTCCTAGAGCATAGGGAACAAGTACTCTCCCACCTGTGTGCCACAGCGCTTCACAGGGGACTGAAAGCAGAGTAATCAATGGTATGCATTCAATGATGGAGATTACAAAATTTTTAAATTAATGCTCTCCTATGATGTATAATATTCAGTGGTTTTTAGGGTAGTCACAAATTTGTTCAACCATCAACCCAATAAATTTTTTTTTTTTTTGAGACAGAGTCTCGCTTTCTTGCCTAGGCTAGAGTGAGTGCCGTGGCGTCAGCCTAGCTCACAGCAACCTCAAACTCCTGGGCTCAAGCGATCCTCCTGCCTCAGCCTCCCGAGTAGCTGGGACTACAGGCACAAGCCACCATGCCCGGCTGATTTTTATATATATATATATTAGTTGGCCAATTAATTTGTTTCTATTTTTATGGTAGAGACGGGGTCTCGCTCAGGCTGGTTTTGAACTCCTGACCTTGAGCAATCCGCCCGCCTCGGCCTCCCAGAGTGCTAGGATTACAGGCGTGAGCCACCGTGCCCGGCCCCCCAATAAATTTTTGAACATCACCTCAAAAAGAAACTTTATACTTCTCAGCAGTCACTCCCCATGCCCTTCCCTACCTCCAGGCCTTGGTAACCACTAATTCACTTTCTCTCTCTGTGGATTTGCCTATTCTGGGCATTTCATATCAATGGAATCATGCAATAAGTGGTTTCTTTCACTTAGCATATTTTAAAGATTTATCCATATTATAGGGTGTATTGGCATTTCATTCCTTTCTATGGCTGAATAATATCCCATTGCATGAATATACCACATTTTATTTATCCATTCATCAGTTGATTCGTACACAAATATTTGTAACAATATTATTCATATTAGCCAAAAAGTAGAAACAACCCATTTGTTAATCAACTGATGAAAGGGTAAATAAAATGTGGTATATCAATTCAACAGAATGTTAATTCAGCCATAAAAAGGAATGAAGTACAGACACACACTGTAACATGGATAAACAAGCCATGTGAAAGAAGCCCTGAAAACAAGCCATATATGAAAGAAGCCAGTCACAAAAGACCACGCATGATTCAAAAGACCATTGCATGACTCCACTGATAGGATATCCAGAATAAGCAAGTGCACAGATAGAAAATAAAAGATGATCACCAGCAAGAGAAGTGACTCTAAACAACATGGGATTTCTTTTTGGGGTGATGAAAATGTTCTCAAATTAGATAGGGGTATAAATCGTACAACTTTTTGAATATACTAAAAACAAATGAATTTTGCACTTTAAATGGGTGGATTGTATGTTATATATAAATTATATCTCAATAACACTGTCACAAAAACCGTGAGATGGGACTATACAACCTTCCAGCTCCCCATCCCTAAACCAGATCCACACAAAGTCCACAGCAGCATCCACAGCCCTCAGCCCAGGGCCACAGGTGCTGCCCAGCCTTTTGGGAGTATGATCTGGCAACTGTCTTTGAGTCATTTAAATATTCTTGATGATGGAAAATCTTTTGTCCTTTGGAGGTGGCTTATATTTCTGAGATGATTCAAGTTTATCTGTAGACAAACATGATGAATTGGGAGGATCAGAACAGAAATTATCTTTTCTGAGAGTGACCAAAAATAAGATTGGTTTTCTTTATAAACTGGCCGGAAGGGAATTCCAAAGAACAATTGCCAAAATGCTTTGAGCACAGAGAGCCACACTGGAAGGACGACTCTGTAAGGGAGCTGCCCTCAGGACAGGCAGACCGCCTACTGCCCTGGTCCTCTGTTTCCACATCTACAAAATGGGATGATCACAATGCCAACCTCCCAGCGTGCCTGTGAGGAATGATCAGGAGACTGCAGCGAGTGCCAGGTCTGAGAACGAAGGAAGCAAGGAAGTTAGAAGTTAGGGAAGGAGGAGATGGGTAAGGGAGGGAGGGAGGAAGTTGGCAGAAGTGAAGAAAGATAGGAAGAAAAATAGGAAAGAAGAAAGGCAAAGGAGAAAGGAATGGAGGGAAAATTGCTTCATTTATCCATTCAATATATATTCATCCAGTATCTCCCTCACACTCATGAAATACCAAAAAAAAAAAAAAAAAAAAGAAGAAGAAGAAGAAATAACCCATGCTCACAGTCCATGTGGACAAGTAGCAATACTGTGTCATGAGAGTTTGACAGAAGTCATAGCCAGTGGCTGCAAACTCAGAGAAGATGGAGCCCAGGCTAGGAGCACGTAAGAAACCATCCAAACCAAGGGGCTGAGTTGTGTCTTATCTAAAGGGCAAGTGAGAGTCATCCCTGATAGAATGATGGAAAGGGAAGAGAAAATATAAAAGCCCAGAGATAAAGACAGACCAGATCTATTAACACATTAACTGTCACGTGAGTTATATTTAACTCACACTAATTGTGAGCCAGGAGCCTCATGAAGCATGTGTAACTCATACATCTCTTTACCTTGGGAGCTGCAAGAACTATTTTTCAAGTTGCATATAATTCACGTATAGAAAAAAATAAAAAATTTTTTCATTAAATTATAAAAAATTATTTTGTTTTTAAAGTTTTTATTCTATTTTCATACTAAAACCACATACTATGCATGGTTCTAAGCTCTTTAAATCCTCACAACCACCCTGTGAGGTAGCCACTGTTATGATCTCCACTTAAGGCATGAGAAAATGGGGACACAGAGTAGTTAAGTAACCTGCTCTAGGTCACCCAGCTAGGTAAGTGGCATATCCAGGTGTCCAACCAGGCGCTCTAACTCCAATAACCCTCCTTAAACCACTACAACACCTGTCCTTTGAATTGGCACAAATACTTCAGGATGGCTGGAAAAAAGAATGGGGTGGGGAGAAGTGGTAAGAGCCGATAGGTAGGCATTTGTAACAGCTACAGCTATTCTCAAGATTAAGAAGTAGCCATCCTAACCAGGCCATTTCTTGTTCAGAGGTGGTTATGGTAGATGGTTCCAAGTTGCACAATTATTAAGAAGCAAAATCTATTTTTCAGGTAGTCACTTATGACTTCAGCATAACCAAACACAATCTCATAATCAGCCAAAATTTAGTGCTCAAATTTTTCTCAAATCCTTGTTTATATTTAGTTTTCATTCTTTTTTAATTTTAAGATATTCAAAATTAAGTAGGAATCTTCTTATTCCTACAAAAAGATTCTTGAGCAAATCACATATACCTGGTAGAGGCTTGATCATCCTTATTTCATGTGCTTGAGGATGGGGGTAGGTTGTGAAGTAATCTCACTCATGTTCTCCGTCTCTCTCAGACATAAGGAAATTTCCATGAATGAGAGTCATACAGCATAAAGGGTTTCTGAAATTTCTAATAAATAAATATTTTAAAAGAAATATAAGAGAGACTTGAAGTATAAACATGGAAAAGTGACTCTCTAAAATGACTAAGCAAATTTGAAAAAGAATAAAAAGTATAGTATTTGAAATTGAAACCTAATAGATGGTTTAAGAGAAAAGAGAGAATTAGCGAACAAAGACACACTAGAGATAATCCATCCACAAAGCAAAATGTTGGTTCTTTGAAATGACTAATAAAATAAACCTCTCAGAAATCACTACACACAGAAGACACTTAAAAGATGATATGCAAATGCTGTTAACTTTAGGTCAATATATTTGAAAATGTCAATAAAGTGGATAAACTACTGGAAAAATATCCTACACAATCTGATGGACAAAATACTAGAAAAATATCTTACACAATCCAATTCTAGAAGAAATAGGAATCCTGAAGAACTCTGTAGCTAT